GCAGGACTCTTGCAGGCTCCCGCAGGGACCAGGATTTCCCACTCTGCGCCTCATCCACACCTGCCAGCAGACATTGCTCAGCAGCATCCTCCCCCAGCCAGCAGGGCTCCCTAGGGGTGGGGTACTCAGCCCATGGCAGGGCTGTGCACAGGGTCTGCACACTGGCTGGAGTCCTTGTTTTGCTGAGGACAAGCAGCAGTGCTCCCATCACTGCCAGCCCTCGGGGTTGCCCCTCTCAGTCTGGGCCTCACCTCCACTGCCCTATGGCAGGGAAGAGAGCGATGGGAGGTGGTCGAGGCAGGGGTGACAGGATCTGCGTGGATTTGGACCTAAGGTGGGAACAGTGCGGGGGGCAGGGGAGTCACTGAGGGACACAGATCTCAATCCCAGCAAGGGGACTGAGGCCAAGACCCCTGGGCCCGTCGGAATCTGGGCTGGAGGGTGGCTGGTGGGAGCACATGTGGACAGGACAGGTTTTGTGTTCATGGGTGCACGGTTCTGAATGAAATGCAGTGTGCACCGTGTGATGACGCCCTGGGAGGGACCTTGCAGTCAGGTTTTCTTCTAAGCAGATGCCATCATTGGCGAGACAGCAGTGAGGCCTAAAGCAGTGGCCTAGAGGAAGAAGGCAGGGCCCTGGGAGCCCCAGCAGCCGAGGGAGGACAGCCAGGCTTTCGGGTGTAGGGTGGCTGCTCCACAGGCCATTGGAGTCTTTAAAGACTGAACAGTTGATGCATTTTAAGAGAAAAAAAGCAAACATTTCCTTAAATACCAATGTTCTTTCTGATTGTGCTCTCTCCATCTCAGGTGAACGTGTACGTGCTGGGAAAGACGTTTCTTCTCTTGGCCAGAGAGCTCTGCATCAATGCGCCGGCCATAGGTAGGCATCTGGGTGAGCTGCTGGGGTGTCCAGCAGGCTGCTGTAGGGACCAGCATGCCAAATGTCCTTTGAGCAGGCCGGGCGCGGTGGCTCAAGCCTGTAATCCCAGCACTTTGGGAGGCCGAGGCGGACGGATCACGAGGTCAGGAGATCGAGACCATCCTGGCTAACCCGGTGAAACCCCGTCTCTACTTAAAAAAAAAAAAAAAATGTCCTTTGAGCAGCGGAGGGAAATCCTGTCCAAGTACGGGACCCCTCAAGGTAAGAAATGTCTCTTAAAGCTGCTAGGAGCTCAGCAATGTGGGGCCTTATTTTCTAAGACAGAGTCTCGCTGTTGTCCAGGCTGGAGTGCAGTGGCATGTTCATAGCTCACTGCAGCCTCAAACTCCTAGGCTCAAGTGATCCTCCTGCCTTGGCCTCCCAAAGCACTGGGATTACAGGCATGAGACTGCACCTGGCCTGGGGCTTGCTTTCTGCTGCAAAACCAGAAGGCCCATTGTCAGTGCCTGTCAGGTGTGCAGGAAGGTGTAGACAGAGGGAAACAGAAGCGCTGTGTGCTGGGAAAATCTTGTGTGGACAAGGTTTAAGGAACACACCTGGCACCAGGTGCCTCTGGACAGATGGGGACAGTGGGGCAGCTCCTGGATGTGCTTTCCAGCCACAGCCCTCTTTTGTGGTTTTTCTGCCACTTTTGTTCTGTGTTGAGTGCCCAGTGTTGTGCCAGTTCATGGAGCTCCTGTATGCCTTTCTTGATATATGTTAGGTGTAGGGTAAGTCGTGTCTCCCCCTCAAGGCAGCAGCAGAGTTCATGCATGCAGAATCTAACCTGGTGGAAAAGTCTAGAAGGAAAGGATCAGAACAGCACTCACTGCCTGATGGTTCTGACCTACCCTTTCTTTACCAAGCAGATGACTGCTTTCCACAGCCTGCTTAGAGCCCACTTTCTTATTTTGCCTGTCTGCATCTAGGAGCATACGTCCTTGGGGTAGAGAAGCACCAGGTGGGGCTGGGTCACCAACAGGACTGAGCAGCGTGGGCTGCAGCAGCAGAGGGACGCTGGCTGGGGCTCTACACTTGGCCCATGCCCTCTCCCAGGTGCCAAGAGGGGCCATCCCTCTTTTCAGGGGTCATACAGGTTTTCCAGAAAGCAGCTGCCTACGGGGTGTGCAGAGTGGGAGGACAGAGGCAAGGGGTGGGAGAGCTTGCTTCACCCTATAGTCCACTCCTGCAACAGGCTGTCCTGCAGCAGTGTCACAGCTAGTGACACTGTGTCCCCAGGGATCCAGAATGCTGGGCCCAGCAGAATGCTCCCCCCACAGTCCGTTCATAGGGTAGGACTCTGAGGTGCTAGTGATGCATTAGGACATAGAGACAACTAGGCACCTGGTGTTTCCCAGGGTGGCCCGGAAGCCAGCCAGCGACCCAGGGGACGGATGGGCTTCACTGGGGTGCAGTTTGCTCCAGACCACGTAGCATGTTCAGCATGACAGCTTTTCTCCTCGGGATGGGAGCTGTTCTGTTGCATGAGAAAGAGAATACCCCACTGTACAACTCCTGTAGTCATTTACTGACACACGAGTGTTATTTTAGGCAACCTTTATTACAGAAGTCCACTATTTTAAGTGACTTTTTGCCGATTTTAGATTTGAAGGGAAGGTCTCAAGTTAAGCTTGGAACCACTTAGAATCCAAGAGGTGGCAGGAACATCCAACCCCTCAAAGCAGGTGGCGTGGGTGCCACTGGGAGGGGATCTGGGGCCTGCCTCGTGCCCTAAATCTTCCTCCACCTGAGACGTGCACCCCAGTGTACCAGAGATGCCTATGACTCCAATCCCCGGGCTCTGGCTGTGTGGAAAAGGCCTCTACTTTACACAATCAAGTTTCAGCTGACTACATGTCAGAGAGAGACAAGGCTAAGAGCAGTTAGTACATTGACTTCCGCTCCGCTCACTTGCCGATCTGCTGCAGCCTCCCCGGGCACCTCAGGCGTAGAAGATGAGCTCAGGGATCTGCCCACCCTGGACCCCAGTCCCGTTGGTGCTATCCGAGGAGCACTGGAACTGGAAGGCCACCTTTCCACACTGCACTTCTGTCATCCCCTCCTGCCCAAAGTAGCTGAGTTCGCTGCCATCCAGGACGGCACTGGCCGTGTAGAAGGTGTCTTGTTCAACCTGGACCGGGTGTTCAAACCAGACCGGGAAGGTGTTACTGGATCCGTCTGACATGAACTTGGTCAGGTTCTGAGCCAGAACCACCCCAAGCCGCTTGAGCTCAATCTTCACGCTGTACTCAGCCTTCCCAGAGCTGGACCCATACAGGCCCAGCCCTGCAATAAATACCCTTCTGTCCACTGCAAACTGGATGCTGTCGCAGCGCCCGCGGTACCGCCACTGGTTGCTGCGGTAGGCAGAAGACTGGAATCGGTGGCACCTCTGTGGGGCGAGGCCCTTCCTCTTGGTCAGGGGGAAGTCCAGGCGGGGCTTGTTGGTGGCCGTGTACCACAGGAAGATGCTGTGGGTCTCCTCCAGAGTCAGGATGTCTGACTGGGCAGCGCCATTGGCAAACTCCTCTAGGGTCATGGTTGGAATTCGGACCAGATAGAGGGCTCGCCCCAAAACATGCCTCTTGTTTCGTGGGGTGACTGGCAGCCCCTGCCTCTTGCACTCTGCCTCGGCCCAGTTCAGGACGGCCTCGAAGACCACTGCCTCCTTGGTGTTGAGGGCCTCCCGAGTGACAATAATCTCCAGTGTCTGCCGGTCTATCTCACAGAAGCCTTCGGACCGTAGGGCCATCTCGGCCTGTGCATCGATGACCTCCCAGCAGCGCTGCGTCAGCTCAGGCTCCTCAAACAGCCGGCTCTGGGACAGCAAGACACAGGCGTTCTTGGCTTCCAAACTTGTCTCCAGAAAGTTGACACAAGCTTTTGCCAATGCTGGGACGATGTACTTCTTAGCAGCGTACAGAGTGGCCAGCACCGTGTCAGCTTCCAGATCGATCTCATCACTGTACATGTACCTAGGCGAGGCAAGGCCCGCGTCAGGGGCTGGCTCCCAAGCACCTATTGCGGGGCTGGGCCTGGGAGAGTCGTCCATCAGCTCCTGTGTGCTCCCCCTCAGAAGCCACGGGAGGCCGCCTAGAACGGACCCACCCGTCCTTCCCCAGTACAGAGTGGACTTACTTTAACAGGATCAGAAAGGCTGCGGGCTCCACGTCTGGAATGTGAATTTCAGATTTGACTTCCGCCAGGTCCCCGTAGAACATGGCATAGAAGACGGAGCTGCCGACAGCCAGGACGTACTGGGAGGAGAAAGCGCCGCCGTGAGCCTGGCTGTCCCGCGGGCTGCGGGCAGCCACACGGCAGGCGGGGCACGCCTTCCGAGAGGGGTCGCCGCTACCCACCTTGTGGGCGGGCACCGTCCTGGTCGCCCCCGGGGGCCCCACAACGAAGTGCACGTCGGCCATGAGCTCGTTGTTAAACATGAGCGCGTTCCTGCAAAGGCAGAGGCACGGGCTGGGGGCGCGGGCACGGGCGCGCGCGGGTGCGCGGGCCGCGGGGGGCGGGCTCACCTCTCGCGCAGCGTGGGGCGGCAGCACCGCCAGCCGGGACTTTCCGGGTGGTTGTTGCCGAGTGTGGGGGGCGCGGGCGCGGGCGGCGGGGGCGCAGGCGCGGGGGCGCTGGGCGGGCTGCGCGGCCCGGCCTTCCTGCCCACGGCGGCACCGGCGTTGCTGTTGGCGAGGTCCGCGGCCGCGGCGCTGGCGGGGGCGTAGAGCTCCGCCGCCATCTTCGCGGGCGGGGCGGCGGGGGCGGCCTCGGAGTCTGTGGACGCCGCGCCCCGCGCCCTCGCACCGCGCCGGGGCCTTGGGAGCGGCTCTGCAAGCAAAAGCAGGGAGGTCAGGCACTGAGCAACGCGGCCATGCAGGCAGGCCAGGGGCAGCAGCATGGGCGGCGGCGGCGGCGCTGCGACCCGCGGGGTTGCCACCCGCTCCCTTGCCACCCCCGCCCCTGCGACCCTGCGACCCTGCCCGAGCCCAGCCTAGCGCAGCCCGGCCAGGCCCGGCCGCAGGGGGCGCCGTCCCGCCCGCCTGAGCCTGTACCCGCCGCGGCGCCGGCGCGTCACGCTGCGTCAGGGCCGCGCCCCGCGCGACGACGCTGCCGCGCGGCCCCGCCCCCAGGTCCGACAGCCTGGAAGCTGCTGGAGTTTCCGTGCCCTGCAACCGGCGCGAGACGCGCACTGTGCAGAGGCCGCCGTGGAAGGCGGCTCCCGGCTCTGGCAGGCGGCTGCCCCCAGACCCGCAGTGCCATGCGCAGGTGCTTGCGCCCATTCTTTAGTTAGCGATCTTTTGGTTAGGAACGCAGGTGGACCTGCTTGTTGGCCGTTTGCATTCCGGAGTCTGTGCCTCTGGCCAAGGCTTGTCGGATGGTCGTAGGGCTTCCTCGTTGGTTCGGATGCCTAGTGATTTAGCTTACTGCAGACGCCAGGAGCAAACGCTCGCGGAGATCGCGGTCCACTCTGCTTTGAGGGCTTTCACAGGGGCAGGCGCTGCTATTTCCTCGCATTTTCCTCGAGGAAATGGGCACAGAGAGGTTAGTCGCGTGCTGAAGGTCACAAAGCGGGCGGGTGGGCAAGTCAGGATCTGGCTCCGGGCCTGCAGCCTTGGAGCTTGGGCCCCAGTGCGCGCCCTGCCTCTGTGGCTCTGCCTGTGGATCGCAGTCGCAGTCTCGTTCCCTATGGGGCCTCTAGCCTCCCAGCCTGGAGCTAATCCTGGGAGATGCGTGGCAGTGGGCACTGGCTTTGCCGATGTGGAGACCAGACTTCAGAGACTGTGTCACCTGACTTGGTCTGCGCAGCCGGTGCACGCCAAGCTCGCGTGCAGACGAAGCTCCAGAGGCCTGGCTGTCAGGAGAGTACCTCCCCGAGGACACACATACAACCTTCTGGACCTCCAGGCTTCAGACTTTCAAAACTCCCATATACAGGAAAGCCCCCAGGACGCAGCCAGCAGCTCGGGTCATGGGTGCACCCATCACAGCAGTCCTGGGCGAAACAGTGAATAGGAGCTGTGTGTCTCTGGTCGTTACAGTTGTAGTAAATGTTCCCTGTAGTAAGAGTCCCCTTCGGAAGATATTTGCCATATTTTCAACAAAGGACTCTCCAGGATTAATGAGCGTCTACAAGTCAGGAAGGAAAAGGCTGACAACCCAGGTTTTTTTAAAAACGGGCAAAGGACGTGAACACACACTATGCAATGACCCAGAGTGCACACATCATCATTTCGCCCGGGAATGGGGCGCCCGAGCCCCCAGGCGGCTGAACTTGAGACTTGTCACGCCAGTGTTGGTGGAACACAGAGCAGCTAGAGGTCACGTGCTGCAGGTGGGCGTGTAACTCCGCAGGGCCAAGCCCTTTGGAAAGCTGTAGCATATGCGTGAGGGTCCAGAAAGTCCCAAGAGAAAGTGTGTGGATGCACCTACCAAGGACACACCCACAGAGGCCACAGCTGCGATTTCATAGTGTGGGACCCCACTGGCAAAGACACACTGGCTGCTGTGGCCATGGTTTCTGTCCTAGCCATCTATTTCCATAGGAAAAGGTAACGGGCATAAGCAGTTTCCAGGAGAAATACAAATGGCGAGAGTGGAGACAGCGTACGTGTCCATCAGCAACAGAAAGGATCAACACGTTGTGGTGGGTCCGTTTGGGGAACGCAGTGAGAGGGAATAACTTACAGCAACACACAAGACCTGGGCAACAGCTGCCTCGGGGCTGGGGGGTGCCAGGATAGAACTGCTGAGCCGCCAGAGGTAGTCAGCGTCTTGATCTGCATGGTGGTGTTGAGTGTGTGAATAATAATTCTCATCCTTAGAAGGCACCCTTTGCACTCTGATTTTTAAATATGTTACAGTGTAGGCCAGGCACGGTGGCTCACGCCTGTAATCCCAGCACTCTGGGAGGCCAAGGTGGGCGGATCACCTGAGGCCAGGAGACCAGCCTGGCCGACATGGTGAAACCCCATCTCTACTAAAAATACAAAAATTAACTGGGTGTGGTGGGCGTCTGTAATCCCAGCTACTTGGGAGGCCAAGGCAGGAGAATGGTTTGAACCACGGAGTCGGAGGTCGCAGTGAACTGAGATCACACCGCTGCACTCCAGCCTGGTCGACAGAGCAAGACTCTGTTGACCAGGCTGGTCTTAAACTCCTGGCCTCAAGTGATCCAACCGCCTAGGCCTCCCAAAGTGCTGGGATTACAGGTGTGAGCCACCACGCCCAGCCGTCATTTTCTTTTTTGTTTGTGATAGTGGTCATCCTAATGGATACGAGGTAGTGTCATGTGGTTTTGATTTGCATGTCCCTGATAAATAATGATGTTGAGCATCTGCTCGTGCTTGTTGGCCATTTGCATGCCATGTTTGGAGAAATGTCTGTTCAAGGGCTTTGCCTTTTTTTTTGAGACAGTCTCACTCTGTTGCCCAGGCTGTAGCGCAGTGGTGAGGTTGCACCGCAAAGTCTGCCTTCCAGGTTCAAGCGATTCTCGTGCCTCAGCCTCCCAAAGAGCTGGGATTACAAAAGAGCAATTTGCCCATTTTTAATCAGTTTTGTTCCTGAGTTGTAGGAGTTTTTTGTATATTCAGGATGTTAACCCCTTATGAGATAGATGGTTTGCACATATTCTCTTCCCTTCCCTAGGATATTATTTCTGTTAATGGATTCCCTTGCTGGGCAGAAACTTTTTAGTTTGAGGTTATCCAATTTGTCTATTTTTACTTTTGTTGCCCTTGTTGTTGGTGTCATGTTCGAGAAATCTTTGCCAAGACCAATGTCATAAAGTCTTTCCCTGTGTTTTCTTCTACGGGTTTTATAGTTTCAAGTCTGCGCTTGGGTCTTGAATTGGTTTTGAGTTAGTTTTTGTGTATGATGTAAGGTAAGGTCTATCTTTATTTGCAAGTGGATATCCAGTTTTCCCAGCGCTGCTTATTGAAGAGACCATCCTTTCCCCATTGTGAAAGAAGTTCTTGTCACCCTTTTTGAAAGTCACCTGCCCGTCATTGTCATTTCTGACCCCGTTCTGTTCTGTCCTGTCCTGTCCTGTCCTGTTCTGTTGGTCTGTAGGTCTGTCTGCATGTCAGCACCCTACTGGCTGTTGGACTTTTTAATTCTTTTCTTGACAGTGGTAATTTATTTGCTGCTTTTTCTTTATTAGTCCCTTTGCCTACTTTAAATAATTAATTTTGTTAATTTTAAATTTTCTGTTATTTGACTTAGTTCATTAATTTCATTGCTTCCTTTATTTATTTATTTATTTATTTTTGAGATGGAGTCTTGTTCTGTCGTCCAGGCTGGAGTGCAGTGGCGCCATCTCAGCTCATTGCAACCTCTGCCTCACAGGTTCAAGCGATTCTCCTGTCTCAGTCTCCGAGTAGCTGGGATTATAGGCACATGCCACCGCGTCCAGCTAATTTTTTGTATTTTTTAGTAGAGATAGGGTTTCACTGTGTTGCCCAGGCTGGTTTCGAACTCCTGAGCTCAGGCAATCAAAGTGCTAGCCTCTTACAATCAAAGTACCTCGGCCTCCCAAAGTGCTAGGATTACAGGCATGAGCCATCACGCCTGGCCCATTGCTTTCTTAAATATACAAAGTGCTTAAGTTAATAAAGTTATCCAAAGGATTGTACTTTAATTTCTTTTTTTTTTTTTTTTTTTGAGACGGAGTCTCGCTCTGCCGCCCGGGCTGGAGTGCAGTGGCAGGATCTCGGCTCACTGCAAGCTCCGCCTCCCGGGTTCCCACCATTCTCCTGCCTCAGCCTCCCGAGTAGCTGGGACTACAGGCGCCCACCACCTCGCCCGGCTAGTTTTTTTGTATTTTTTTTAGTAGAGACGGGGTTTCACCGTGTTAGCCAGGATGGTCTCCATCTCCTGACCTCGTGATCCGCCCGTCTCGGCCTCCCAAAGTGCTGGGATTACAGGCTTGAGCCACCGCGCCCGGCCGTACTTTAATGTCTAATAGCGTTTGGAGGTGAGGGGACTACTTGTTTTTGCTCGTTTTTAGTTTTTTGGTTTTTTTTTTACTTGGGATCAAGTGGCACATCCTGTGTGAAATGTATTGAGAGTTTCTTTGTTCTGTAATAATACCTGGTCATTTTCATAACTGTCCCACAGACACTGGAAAAGCATGATGACTCCATGGGGTACAGAATTTAGAACATCCTTGTCAGATTGAGCCTATAGTGATGTGTCTTATATTGTCCCTTAGTCTTTTTTTCCTATTCAGTCTGTCAAATTTCAGAGAACTATGTTAAAATCTCCCCTTACTGTGGTTTCGAAGGTTGTTTCATTGCTTTTCCTTCATTTAATTCTTCCTCTGTCACTGTGCACCTGCAGATTCCAGGCTGCTTCACATAGTTTCCTTTGCATTATGAAATGCTCATGCCTGTCCTGTGCCACTCTGCCACTCCACGTTTGCCCACAGTGCCGCCGCTGCCCAGCGCCTCTGCTCCACCCTAGTCACTGACGGATTTGTCTTGAAAGCACGCTTTTTGCTTGTCTTTTTTGTTTTGAAACATGGTCTCAGTCACCTAGGCTAGAATGCAGTGGCACAGTCATGGCTCAATGCAGCCTCGACCTCCTGGACTCAAGCAATCCTGCCACCTCGGCCTTCCAAGTAGCTAGGAATGTAGGTATGAGCCACTCTACCTGGCTTGTCTTGAATTTTTTTTTTTTTTTTTTTTGGAGATGGAGTCTCGCTTTGTCGCCTAGGCTGGAGTACAGTGGCACAATCTTGGCTTTTTGCAACCTCCACCTCCCAGGTTCAAGCAATTCTCCTGTCTCAGCCTCCTTAGTACCTGGGATGACTGCGGGGACATACCACCACGCCCAGCTAATTTTTGTACTTTACTTTAGTAGAGACGGGGTTTCACTGTATTGGCCAGGCTGGTCTTGAACTCCTGACCTCAGGTGATCCACCCTCCTTGGCCTCCCGAAGTGCTGGGATTACACATGTGAGCCACCATGCCCAGCCGTCGATGTATTTTCCAGTGTCTTTGAACTGAGTTTTCTATTTCAAGAATTAATGAGTGTCAAAGTCCCACCCCCATCAGTACATCTTTTTCTTTTTTCTTTTTTTCTGTCACCCAGGCCTGAGTACAGTGGTACAATCACAGCTCACTACAGCCTCGACTTCCTGGGTTTGAGTGATCCCCTTGCCTCAGCCTCCTCAGTAGCTGGGACTAGACCACACCCACTAATTTTTTTTTTTTTTTTGGAGGCAGAGTCTTGCTCTGTCGCCTAGACTGGAGTGCAGTGGCATGATCTTGGCTCACTGTAACCTCCACCTCCCAGGTTCAAGCAATTCTGGAGTCTCAGCCTTTCAAGTATCTGGAACTATAGGTGCCCGCCACCATACCTGGCTAATTTTTGTGTGTGTGTGTGTTGTATTTTAGTAGAGACAGGGTTTCACCATGTTGCCTAGGGTGGTCTGGAACTCCTAAGCTCAGGCAGTCCACCTGCCTTGGCCTCCCAAAATTCTGGAATTACAGGTGTGAGCCATCACACCCGGCCTCACACCCACTAATTTTTTGTTTGTTTGTTTCTTTGTTTTTTGAGACGGAGTCTCACTCTGTCATCCAGGCTGGAGTACAATGGTGTGATCTTGGCTCACTGCAATCTCCGCCTCCTGGGTTCAAGCGATTCTCCTGCCTCATCCTCCCAAGTAGGTGGGCCCAGCTCATTTTTTGTATATTAGTTGAGACAGGGTTTCACCATGTTGCCCAGGGTGGTCTTGATCTCCTGAGCTCAGGCCATCCACCTGCCTCAATCTCCCAAAGTGCTGGGATCACAGGCGTGAGCCACAGCACCCACCCCCGGCCAAATTTTTTCTAAAAATTTTTGTATAGACTTCGTCTCAATATTGCCCAGTCTATAAGCATATCTTTTTTTTTTTTTTTTTTTTTTTTTTGAGACAGAGCTTTGCTCTTGTTGCCCAAGCTGGAGTGCAATGGTGCAATCTCAGCTCACTGAAACCTCCACCTCCCTGGTTCAAGCAATTCTCCTGCCTCAGCCTCCTGAGTAGCTGGGACTAGAGGCATGTACCACCATGCCCTGCAAATTTTGTATTTTTAGTAAAGACGGGGTTTCTCCATGTTGGTGAGGCCAGTCTCAAACTCCGGACCTCAGGTGATCTGCCCACCTTGGCCTCCCAAAGTGCTGGGATTATAGGCGTGAGCCACCACGCCCAGGTTATAACTGTTTTTTTTATCATTCTTTTTATTTCTAGCTCCGATGATTTTATCTTATTGAAAATTATTAAAAAGTCTTAGCAATTATGTTATTTTAAATTATCTTGGTTTTTTTCTCTGAATAATACCTGTTTTAGCTGCCGAATCACCAAAAATCCTTTGTTTTTCTCTGTAGTTGTGGGTGCGTAGTGGGTACGTATGTTTATGGGGCACATGAGGTGTTTGGATGCTGCCTGCAGTGTGTAACAATCACATCAGGGTAAATGCGGCATGTTTCACCTCAAGCATTCATCCTTCGTGTTACAGACACGCTCAGCTGGAAAGGGGGCCTGCATCATGAGTATGAAGGGATGCAAGTCATAGCCACCTGAGTCTGGTGGGACACAGCAGAGCCCTGTGGAGTCACATCACAGCCTCGTGCTCGGCGTAGGGGAGCGCTGCTTGGGTCCATGCAGTCGATCAGGGCCCGGGCTGTGCAGCACCCGGCCTGTCCTGCTCTAGGCACATCCCCTGCAGCACTGTGCCGTGCTGGCAGAGGTGCACAGCACCAGACCTCAGTGTGCACACACAGCCCCAGTGGCACTGCCATGCTGGTAGGGATGCCAGAAGTGGGTCCTCCTCTCACCCATGAGTGTCAGCTGATGCCGGCTGGCTGGCGACTTGTGTGCCCAACCCACGCCTGTCTTGCTCTAAGGGTCCCGGGACCGTTGTTGGGGGTGGTGCTGTTAGCATGGTCTGGAGGGAAGGCTGCTGGGTGTGAGCCCCTCTGTGCCCTGAGCAGGGCAGCCATGCAGTAGGGGCACGCTGCCTGGCCCCAGCGTGTCTGCAGCAGGCTGGTTGGCAGCAGGTGGCCAGTGGCTCTCCTGGGTTCAGTGCCATGACTGCTCCAGCTGAGGGTCAGAGAGGCTTTGTCCAGGGGAGGGGGACTGGTGAGGGGCCTGGGTTCCTGGAAAGACAAGTGCAGGTCACCCCACCCCTGGGCTGTCTGGGCCACCTGTGCACATGCTATGGCACATTGAGGCGGGCACTGAGACGCCGTGTCTGCTACAGACCCGTGCCTGTATATTCCGCGCTTTGCGCACCTACTGGAATTCGGAGAGAAGAACCACGAGGTGTCCATGACTGCCCTGAGGCTCCTACAGAGGATGAAGCGGGACTGGATGCACACAGGCCGGCGCCCCTCAGGCCTCTGCGGAGCAGGTACAGCGGGCCTTGCCCGTCTGGGGGATGCTGGCCTGGGTCCTGGCGTCACACTTTCCTGACGCCTGAGTGCTGGTGGGCTGTGCCAAATGTTTGCAGAGCACTGAGAGCTGCCTCCAGCCTTCCCTGGCTGACACTGGACTGGCCCACCGGGGTCCTCAGCCCTCCAGGACCTCCTGGCTGCCCCGTTGGCCTCTGTGTGTCCTGGCATAAGGGGCAGAACCCTCAGGGCAGAGTGGCCCTGACCCCAGGTTGCCTACATCTGGGGTGCGGCTGCACGGCCATCCCTGTCCGTGGTCTTGTGGGGCCCGGCTCCTGACGCGGATAGTGGTGTGGCCTCTCTGAGATGCTAGATTGTTGCTTATGAGGGTGCCATGGGGCTGTCAGACTATCCCCCACCCCCAGCTGGGCGGTTGTTCTAGTTGGACCTCTGTGGCCCCCCAGGTTCCAGCTGTCACTCAAACTCTCACTTTGCCTTTGGTGCTGGTGGGTGGATGTGGCTGTGGCCTGGTCAACTACCCCAACCCTGGAATTGGAGCCCCAGGTCGGCAGGGCCCTTGCTCCTCACCAGGGCCCTCACCCTCAGTGCCCACAGAGTCCACTCTTCCCAGCAGGCTAGGTGCCAACGTCCCTGCACTCTGCTGACAGCAGAATTCAGTCCACCTGAGAAGCCGTTCCATCTGCACACATGATCTCCATGTTTGCTCTGGAGGTTCTGGGCCCACTGCAGCCTTGGTGAACCTGTGTCAGCTGCCAGCTGTGGCCTTGCCCCTTTCCCGCCTGGCCTGGCTCCGCATCCTCAGAATCCCCAGCTCCCATCACAACCTGTGTTTCCTGCACAGTCATCTTAAAGTTATTTTGTTTGCTTTGAGGGATTACGTGAAGCTCTCGGAAACCTTCATTTTAATTGTTCTTGTATTTGAAAATGGAATGGGATGCAGCCACCACCCACCATAAGATAGAGAGGGTCTCATTGTTCAGGATGAGCCACGCTAAGTGAGGATCTCACTGCCCTGGCACGGACACATCTTCCCAGGTCATCATCTCCCTGACCGGGATCCGCAGTGTTTTCCTGGGCCACAGATACACTGTTGCCCTGGTTCGCAGCTGTGGTTGACGAGGCCCGTCTCGTTGCTTTCTAGCACTCCTAGTTGCAGCCAGAATGCATGACTTCAGGAGGACTGTGAAGGAGGTCATCAGTGTGGTCAAAGTGTGTGAGTCCACGCTGCGAAAGAGGTAGGGGGCTCTCATTCATGGCATGGGCACCACGCAGACACTTCGTCAGTCCAGCTCAGGCCTGCTTGCCGGAGCAGGCACCACTTCCCAGGACCCTGCTATACCCCACCTGGCTGTTGGCCAGGACCTAGCCCAGCCCCCGTCGCACCATGGCTTGGACATGCTGGCAGGATGCCTTGCCTCCCTCCGGAGAGTTCTCTGCTAGTCCTTCTGAGGCCGGCCCTGTCCTGCGGAGGCGTCCTCCTCCTCCGATCCCTGTATTATTATTATTTTTTTATTTTTTATTTTTATTTTTGAGACGGAGTCTCGCTCTGTCGCCCAGGCTGGAGTGCAGTGGCCAGATCTCAGCTCACTGCAAGCTCCGCCTCCCGGGTTTGCGCCATTCTCCTGCCTCAGCCTCCCGAGTAGCTGGGACTACAGGCGCCCGCCACCCCACCCGGCTATTTTTTTGTATTTTTTAGTAGAGATGGGGTTTCATCGTGTTAGCCAGGATGGTCTCGATCTCCTGACCTCGTGATCCACCCGTCTCGGCCTCCCAAAGTGCTGGGATTACAGGCTTGAGCCACCGCGCCCGGCCTTTTTTGAGAGACAGCCTCGCTCTGTCACCCAGGCTGGAGTGCAGTGGCACGATCTCGGCTCACTGCAACCTCCACCTCCCGGATACAAGAGATTCTCCCGCCTCAGCCTCCTGAGTAGCTGGGATTACAGGCGTGCGCCACCGTGCCCGGCTAACTTTTGTATTTTTTAGTAGAGACGGTTTCACCATGTTGGTCATGCTGGTCTTGAACTCGTGACCTCGTGATCCACCTGCCTCGGCCTCCCAAAGTGCTGGGATTACAGGCGTGTGCCACCGTGCCCGGCCTGATCCCTGTGTTTCTAAGTTGAGGCGGAGGGTGATGTGTAAAGTTGCCCTAAGTCACAAACAGGCAGGAGGCTGTCTTTGACGTCAGAAGCCTGGTCCATCTCCTTTTTAGTGTGGTCCGTCCTGGACTTGGAAAGCCCAGGTGACCCCTGTCCTAGTGAGAAGCCGGAGTTCCGTCAGAGGTCCCCGCATCAGTTGAAATGAGTGGCACAGCAAGCCAGGCAGGCAGGGGCGGGGCTTTGCACCCCGCCTTGCTGGGTGGTATTTGTTGGGGTTCCTCACAGCTCACCTGCGCTGGCAGCCCCGTTTCATAGACTTCCGCAAGGTAAATGTGACAGTGGGGTTGCTGCAACCTGTAACTGCTGTGACATTTATCACAAATCTTAAACACGCGGCTGCTGTTTTTCAGCTGAGATCGTGTCCTGTGGCAGTTTCCAAAAGCAGCTGGGAAGTATTTAACCTTAAACATCTGACTGTTGATTCTGTAAAAAGCCTTTGATTAAGCATGTTGGAGGTTGTGTAGCGTGTAGAGGCGTTCGTAAGAACTGAGCCCCATGGCTCACAGGCCTGCGGGCCCCTTCCTGCCCGACTGCCAGGTGCTGAGGTTCTAGCCCAGCCTCCTCTCTTCAGGCGTTCTGAGTCTTCCGCCTAGGATTGGGGTCCTCTGAGTGATTAAGGGTGCCTGTGGGCCTTTCTCCCAGTGAACAGAGGTCCGGGCAGGATCAGGTAGGGGTAGAGAAGCCGCCACAAGGGACCTGGGTGCCGAGGAGCAAGGCCTGACTGCCAGGGCCCATGGAGGAACGCCTGGCAGGTACAGTTCATTTATTTGTTTTTATTTTTTATGTTTTTGACACAGAGTTTTGCTCTTGCCGCCCAGGCTGGAGTACAGTGGCACGATCTCAGCTCACTGCAACCTCCGCCTCCTGGATTCAAGCGATTCTCCAGCCTCAGCCTCTCAAGTAGCCGAGATTACAGGCTCCCACCACCACGCCCAGCTAATTTTTGCTATTTTTAATAGAGATGGGGTTTCACCATGTTGGCCTGGCTGGTCTCGAACTCCTGACCTCAGGTGATCCTACCACTTCGGCCTCCCACATGCTGGGATTACAGGCGTGAGCCACAGTGCCTGGCCTTTTATTTTATTTTTTTATATATTTTTTGAGACAGTCTCACTCTGCTGCCCAGGCCAAAGGGCAGTGACACTATCACAGCTCATTACAGCCTCAACCTCCTGGGCTCAAGTGATTCTCCCTGACCTCAGCCTCCCAAGTAGCAGGGACTGCAGGTGTGCACCACCATACCTGGCTAACTTTTTTTTCTTTTTGAGTAGAGACAGAGTCTCACTATGTTGCCTAGGCTGATCTCAAAGTCCTGGACTCAAACAGTCCACCCACCTTGGGCTCCCAAGTGCTGGGATCACAGGTGTGAGCCACGCCAAGCCAGCAGCTCAGTTTTAAATGGCGTTTTCAGAGCTGCCAGCTCCATTTCCCATGTTCGGCTCCATTTTAGGCTCACGGAATTTGAAGACACCCCCACCAGTCAGCTGACCATAGATGAGTTCATGAAGATCGACCTGGAGGAGGAGTGCGACCCCCCCTCATACACGGCTGGGCAGAGGAAGCTGCGGATGAAGCAGGTAGTGCCAGCCTTGGCGTCTGTCTGTGCTGGGCTTGTCAGCCTTGCAGGGAAGCTGCACACCCATAGCCTCATAGCCGCTCTTCAGTGCTGTAACCAGCCAGAGCCCGAGGCGCCAGGACACACCTCGCACAGACTCTGGGAAGTGCCACATCTTCCTGTAGGGGACACAGACCCATAGCTCCACCTCCACCGCTGCGTACCCCTAAGTTCCAGTGGCCTGTGGTCCCTGGGGCCCACGGGGCACCCCGGAGGCTGCACTGTGTACCCGGGCCTCCCTTCACGAAGCCTCTCGCCCTGTTCCCTTTCAGCTTGAACAAGTCCTGTCAAAAAAACTGGAGGAGGTTGAAGGTAACCAACTGATCTTCCCACACAATGCTTCTGTTTTGTTGGGAAAATTGATTTTGTGCTGACTTTTTGCTTTTAACTTATGGCTTCAGGTGAAATATCCAGTTACCAGGATGCAATTGAGATTGAACTAGAAAACAGCCGGCCAAAGGCCAAGGGGGGCCTGGCCAGCCTGGCGAAAGATGGTGAGTCTAGCCCTGGCCTCAGAACTGGAGACCTGTCTGTGTGCCCCTTGCCGGCACCTTTCCCACCAGCTGACCTTTGACCTTGTCCTTCCTGTCACTCTTCCTGGGCCCTCTGGTCTATGTGCACAGCCCTGGGGTTGAGGCTGCCTCCCCCCATGACCTTCCTTCCTCCTCAGACACTCAGGCTGCACGCTGGGCTGTGGCACTCCAGCTGTTGGTACAGGTTGCCCCCACCTCATCCCCTCCCTGCAGAGGCTCCTGTGAGGTGTGCATTGGTTTGATCCAGAAAGGTGGGACAACTGAAAGCAGTGGGCGGTGCTTATAGGTCGCAGGTGGAGTCAAAGGTTTTGTGATTGGCAATTGGTTGAAAGAGTTAAGTTATTATCTAAAGACCCGGAATCAACAGAAAGAAGTATCTAGATTAAGGTAAGAGAGTTGTGGAGACCAAGGTGCTTGTTACTTAGATGAAGTCTTGTAGGTGGCCACCCTTAGAGGCAATAAATGGAAAGGTTTCCTTTTTTTTTTCTGGAGTCAGAGTCTCCCTCTTTGACCCAGACTGGAGTGTAATGGTGCGATCTTGGCTCACTGCAACTGCCACCTCCCAGGTTCAAGTGACTCGAGCCTCAGCCTCCCAAGTAGCTGGGACTACAGGCACCTGCCACCACGCCCTGGTAATTTTTGTATTTTTATTAGAGACAGGGTTCTACCATGATGGTCAGGCTGGCCTTGAACTCCTGACCTCAGGTGATCTGCCTGCCTCGGCCTCCCAGAGTGTTGGGATTATAGGAATGAGCCACCGTCCCTGGACAAATGTTTCCTATTCAGACCTTTTTTGTTTGTTTTTGAGACAGAGTCTCTCCCTGTCGCCTGGGCTGGAGTGCAGTGGCACAATCTCAGCTCACTGCAACCTCCACCTGCTGGGTTCACGCGATTATCCTGCCTCAGCCTCCCAAGTAGGTGGGAGTACAGGCACACACCACCACACCTGGCTAATTTTTTGTATTTTTAGTAGAGATGGGTTTCACTGTGTTGGCCAGGCTGGTCTCGGAACTCCTGACCTCGTGATTTGCCCACCTCGGCCTCCCAAAATGCTAGGATTACAGACGTGAGCCCCTGCTCCTGGCCCCTATTCAGATCTTTGAAATATACTGGTCTCAGCAAATCTCTTCAGGATCAGAAAAAGACCTGGAAAGGGAAGGGGATTCTCTACAGAATGTAAGTTTCCTGCCAGGTGCGGTGGCTCACGCCTGTAATCCCAGCACTTTGGGAGGCTAAGGCGGGCGGATCACAAGGTCAAGAGATTGAGACCATCTTAGCCAACATAGTGAAACCCCATCTCTACTAAAAATACAAAAATTAGCCGGGCATGGTGGCACACGCCTGTAGTCCCAGCTACTTGGGAGGCTGAGGCAGGAGAATCGCTTGAACCCAGGAGGCAGAGGTTGCAGTGAGCTGAGATTGCACCACTGTACTCCAGCCTGGGCGACAGAGTGAGACTCCATCTCAAAAAAAAAAAAAAAGAATAAAAAAGAATGTGAGTTTCCACTGCAAAAGACAGCTTTGCAGAGCCATTTCAAAATATGTCAAAGATATTTTGGGGTAAAGTATTTTGATTTCTTTCAGGGCCTGCTACCTGTCATTGATGCTATACTAGAGTCAGGTTGGAATCTGGTATCTGTTGCTACAAGGTCTGTTTGGCCAGTCATCGGATCTCTGTTTGGATGTTAATGCTGATGAGCTGCTCCTGAACTCCAAAGGGAGGGGGTGTAAGAGCGTATAATGAGGCATGTCTGACCCCACCCCCGCTTCCCATCGTGGTCTGAACTAGTTTTTCAGGTTTCTTTGAAATCTCTTTGGTCAAGAGAAGGGATCCATTTGGTTGGTGTGGGGCTTAGAATTTTATTTTTGATTAGTATTCTGTACTGTGTTTTTTCACTTGGGGGTAGTAGGAGCCACGAGGGGGCCTGAGGCAGAGGCAGGTGGTGGGGAGGCTGTTGCAGGAACCCAGGGTGAGAGACCTGGCCCAGCCTGGTCAAACTCTGGAGGTACTTTTGGGGCAGAGCCAACAGTCTGGGGAATGTGCACGTCCAGGGAATGTGGCAGCTGGAGCCCCCAAGGCTCCTGGCACCTGCGGCCTGGGCCCACTTGCCTGGGGAGGGGTTTCTAAGAGGCTGCACTGTCCAGAGGTCATTACCCACTGATGTCTGCTCTCTGGGGATCAGGTGCTTTCCCCCAAGGAGCCATTCCTCACCATGGGGACCCCTCCAGGACTCAGTGCTAGCCAGGAATTTTATATTGGAACACATTGAGAAGAAAGTAATCTAAGACTTAGAGTGGGTCAAGCATAGTGGTCCATGCCTGTAATCGTAGCACTTTGGGAGGCGAATACAGGAGGATTGCTTGAGCGGAGTTCAAGACCAGCCTGGTCAGCATAGTAAGACCCCATCTCTACAAAAAATTTAAAAATTAGCTGGGTGTGGGAGTGCGCGCCTATAGTCCCAGCTGCTCGGGAGGCTGAGGCCGGAGGATCACTTGAGCCCAGGAGTTTGATGTGCAGTGAGCTATGATTGCACCACTATATTCCAGCCTGGGCAGCAGAGCCAGACCCTGTCGCCAGTACACACACACACACACAAAATCTAGAATGGGATGTTTTAAGATGAGTTTTGCCAACCTTAAAGGAAGAAGCAGAGGCAAAATTAATCTACATAATTTATTTGGGTCAAGCCTGAGGATTGCAGCCAGAGAGGACACATCTCATTGCCCTGAATATACACTCTGGTGAGCAGCGGTTACACGTGGACTTTCTCTTTTTTTGGAGACGGAGGCTTACTCTGTCACCCAGGCTGGAGTACAGTTGCATAATCTCAGCTCACCGCAACCTCCACCCTCTAGTTTCTTTTTTTTTTTTTTTTTTTTTTTTGAGACGGAGTCTCGCTCTGTCGCCCAGGCTGGAGTGCAGTGGCCGGATCTCAGCTCACTGCAAGCTCCACCTCCCGGGTTCACACCATTCTCCTGCCTCAGCCTCCCGAGTAGCTGGGACTACAGGTGCCCGCCACCTCACCCGGCTAGTTTTTTTTTTTTGTATTTTGTAGTAGAGACGGGGTTTCACCGTGTTAGCCAGGATGGTCTCGATCTCCTGACCTCATGATCCGCCCGTCTCGGCCTCCCAAAGTGCTGGGATTACAGGCTTGAGCCACCGCGCCCGGCCCACCCTCTAGTTTCAAGCAATTCTCCTGCCTCATCCTCCCAAGTAGCTGGGACTACAGGCATGCGCCACCACACCCAGCTAATTTTTGTATTTTTTGTAGAAACGGGGTTTCACCACGTTGGCCAGGCTGGTCTCGAACTCCTGACCTCAAGTGATCTGCCCACTTTGGCCTCCCAAAGTATGGGATTACAGGAGTGAGCCATCATGCCCAGCCACAGATGGATTTTTAAAGGCAAAAAGGGACAGTGATTGGATGGATACAAAGTTGTTTGTCAGGAATTCTCATTGGCTTACAATAATAACATTTATTCGTGATTAGCTGTACATCGTTAAGCTATTGGTTGCGGCATTCTTAGGTTAGTTTAGAGCTACTTGTGGCAACAGCAGGCAGTTTCAAGAAGTGAACACCTAGCTCAAGGCGGGGGGATTCACATTCCTCCCATGAAAGTTGTTTTCTGTCTTTTAAATTCACCATTGGGTGATTTTTAACAGCTTTATTGCGGTGTAATTGCCTTATGACAAACTGCTCATGTTTAAAATGCGCCGTTTAATTTCTGAACTTTGACGTCTGCACACACCTGTCAAGCCATAGCGACAACCAGGAAAACCCACAGATTTGTGGCTCCTGCGGGGTCCACAGGCCCTTAGTCAGCGCCCCCCCTCCGGCCCCAGGCCCCCAGTGAGCTACTTTTTGTCACTATAAATTAGTTGTATTCTGTAGAATTCCGTACGAGTAGGATCACGTAGTATATGTTTTTCTCTTTAGCTTTTTTCACAGTGTGGTTATGTTGAGTCCATCAATGGTTTGTTCTTTTCTGCTGTGGCGTGGCAGTCGGTAGTCCTTCAACACGCTGAGGTGTGTAGTCATTCATCTGTTGGAGTACATTGCACGTTCGGGGCTGTTTCAGATGCACTCCTGAACCCTGGTGTACAAGTCCTTGTGTGGACGTTGATTTCCTTTTGGGTCAGCTGCTGAGGAGTGAAATTGCTGGGTTATGTGAAAGGCAAGTGTGTCTGTCTTTTTTTGTTGTTTTAGAGACAGGGTCTTATTCTGTCACCGAGGCTGGAGTGCAGTAGTTAGATCATAGCTCACCGCAGTGTCAACCTCCTGGGCTCAAGCAACTCCCCCATATCAGCCTCCCAAGTAGCTGGGACTGCAGGCGGGCACCGCCACACCCAGCTAAGTTTTCATTTTTTCATAGAGACAGGATCTTGCTATGTTGCCCAGGCTGGTCTGGAACTCCTGGGCTCAAGTGGGCGGCCACGACCTGTCTGTCTTTAAGAAATGATCAGGTTGTCAGCTGGACGCAGTGACTCACACCTGTAATCCCAGCACTTTGGGAGGCCAAGGTGGGTTGATCACGAGGTCAGGAGATCGAGACCATCCTGGCTAACACAGTGAAACCCTGTCTCTACTAAAAATACAAAAAAAATTGGCTGGGTATGGGGGCAGACGCCTGTAGTCCCAGCTACTCGGGAGGCTAAGGCAGGAGAATGGCATGAGCCCGGGAGGTGGAGCTTGCAGTGAGTGGAGATTGCACCACTGCACTCCAACCTGGGCGACAGAATGAGACTCCGTCTCAAAATAAAAAAGGAAAAAGAAATGATCAGGTTGTCTCCAAAGGGGTGTCACCATGCGTGGAAGCCCAAGGGAGTATGTTCCTCCTGCCTGGGAGGCATGGCCCGGTTTTCTTTTCAGGGCTAGACGTTCTGAGCTGTGAAGGAGTAACTGGTGGTGGTTTCATCTGCATTTCCTTCAGGACTGGAGGAGGTCTTTGTATGTGTTTGTTTACCACCCATATGTCATATTCGTGGGAGCCTTTGTTCAGATCTTTTTTCTATTTTTTAATTGGGTTGTGTTTTCTTGTGAAGTTTTGGGAATTCTTCATCTGTTCTAGATTTAAGTCCTTTACCAGTTGTGAGATTTGCAGATAAGCCTGTGGGCCGTCTTCATTGTCTTAATGATGTCTTTCAAAGGGCAGTTCTTAACTGTTTGGAAACCCGTTTTATCAGTGTTTTATGAGATTCTGCTTTTAGAGCCATTAGAAATGTTTGCCTTATCCAAGGTCAGACTTTTTCTTTTATGTTTTGGTCTGAGATGTCTGTACTTTAACTCCCCCCAGGTCTGTGATCTGCTTTGAGCTAACTTCTGCGTGCAGTGCGAGGTGTGGCCTGAGGCTTGTTCTTTGGCACGTGGCTGCCGGGCACCGTGCAGCGACAGCCTTTCTCTGGGTTACCTGGCAGCTTGGTAGCATTGTTTTTTGTCACAAAAGTGGGCGCCCTGGCCCTCTGCCTGGTTAACAGGTGGTGTGTGGATTGTGTACCCCTAGGCTCCGCTGAGGACACCGCGTCCAGCTTGTGTGGCGAGGAGGACACGGAGGATGAGGAGCTGGAGGCCGCGGCCAGCCACCTGAACAAGGACTTATACCGGGAGCTCCTTGGTGGCACCCCCGGCAGCTCGGAAGCAACAGGAAACCCCGAGTGGGGCGGCAGACCTCCGGCCCTTGGGTCCCTGCTGGACCCCCTCCCCACTGCGGCCAGCCTGGGCATCTCAGATTCGATCCGCGAATGCATCTCCTCTCAGTGCAGCGACCCCAGTGAGTTCTGATGGAGCCCTGGAGGGCGGCTGAGGTCATCAGGAGAGCTTTCCGACGTGTCCCTCTCACAGGGAGAGCTGGATGCTGCCATCCTTTGTCGGGAGGTGTGGTGTTTTCGAGCGGTGGGCTTGGGTGGGGGCACCACCAGTCCCCCCAGTGGGGCTGTGTGGGCGTCAGTGGTCCTGGTGTGAAGAACTGGGTGTGTGCCGATGCTGGAATGCGGTGGGTCTCGTCACCCTCACTGGGACCGCCTGCAGGCCACCGGGCCATGGAGAACAGAGCCCACAAGTTGCATCCAGGAGTCCCACGGGGCAGCTCCACACCTCATCTACTTGTCCATCATGGTTGGGGAGCGTCATTTGCTGAGCTTGGTCATGGCAACGACGAGGCACCCCTGTCCCATAGTGCCCAGGCCAGGCCACCATGCCCGTCATGCCCCCTCCACCCTGCCCATTTGGCTGGGAGCTCTAGGAGAAAGCTGGGTCCCATCCCCCATCCCTGCCAGGACAGGCTTCCCTGGCTGAAAGCCTGGACCTTCCTGCAACGCTTCACCCTCAGGCCCTGCCTCCCGTCGGGCACCAGGGCCTGGCCTCTGTGTTGAGGAGCCAGGCAAATATTTATCGAGTGACCTCTGGGCCGGGGGTGGAGACAGTCCTGATGGCTGGGGCTGCTGTGTGGGTGGAACCCAGGCGGGTCACACAGAGCAACAGGCAGAGGGGACGTGCACAGGCTCCCGGGGCAGCCGGCGGCACAGTGACCCTGAGCAGAAAGGGCCATTCTGGCTGAGGAAGGGCCATGGGGGGCCTTGAGGGCTGCCTGTTTGAGTGCTGAGAGGAGCCCTCTCAGGCCTCAGCCATGAACAGCGTGGCAGGAGAGCACCCCAGACAGTCCAGCCCTGTGCTGGAGTTGAGTTGGCAGCATGGGGCAGGCAGCTATGGTGTGGGGCTGTGGCAAGGAGAGGCTGTCCCAGTTCCAGGCTGTGCAGATGCTGCCTGGACCACGTGGGGCTGGGCAGGGGTGACAGGCAGGTTTTGGGGTGTCCTGAGCGTGATCATGGAAGGCTCCCTTGGGCCTGGACTCTGGAATTATTTCTATTCCCTCATTTCTATCCCCAGACCTATGGGCTCAGTGATAGGGAGCTGGCGCCCCCCAGCGCAGACCCCTGTCTCACTCCGTGGCCTGGCCTTTCCTTCCTGCCCAGCTTCCGTGCCCTCCCTCGGTCTTTGGGGCCAGACAGCCTCTGTCTCCCAATCTTAAAAAGTTGCTTTCTTACAAAAAGCACAGGAGTGCTGGGATTTTCCTTCGTAGCTTGAGTTTGGTGTCCTGCTGTCTTCACTTAGCATCCTTAGCTAAGCATTTAAAGAGACGTGGCCATGTGGGGAAACAGGGCGTGACCCCCTGGTGCAGAGGAGGGGATGGGGTTCTAGAAGACCCTTAGCCCAGACCCAGGGTCCTGAGCCAGCCCAGGTGGTGGCCGCGTTCCCGTCCTCAGAGCTGGTGCTGAGTGATGCTGATGCTGCGCTTCCCTCCAGAAGATGCTTCGGGAGACGGCGAGCTGGACCTCAGTGGCATTGACGACCTGGAGATTGACAGGGTGAGTGGCAGCACCCCTTCCCAGGAGGGGCGAGGCTTGGGAGGGCACTGCAGCCCAAGGAGCCCTGAGTGGCCAGGCAGGGTTGGCCATCTCCCCTGCCCAGTGCCCACCCCGCTGGGTGAAGTGGGCTCCTGGCCTTCTAGCCACTGTTCCCGGGACCTACCCCCAGACTCTCCTGTCCGGTGTTGGCTCCAGGGCAGCCTGTCGGGAGGCCCCCAGCTTTGCACCTGGCCCTTGTGGCCCTCTGGGCATGTAGCCTGTGGCAAGCACAGATCGCACAAGTGGCACCAGGGTCAGCCCATCGAGGGGGTCTCCAGACACAAGAGGGTGCCCACTGACTCTACATGCACTGTGTGCCTCCAAACTCCAGGGGTTCCAGCCATTGGGACCAGCTCTTTGCAGTTTATCTCAACATACTTGCCCTCTGTCAGGCAGGAAGTCTTCTTCCCTGATTTCATGGCCACGTGGTGCCTCAGACCCCTCCAGCCTGGCCCATCTGTTCCTGAGTGGGTGGCTCTCACCCTCACTTGGTCCCTTTGTGGGGTCCTGTAGCCTGCACTCTGGCTGGCCAGGGTCCTGGTGTCGGCGGGGCCTGCAAGCTGCCCTAGAGGGTCTCACAAGTGTGGCCTGCTTGGTTGGCCTTGGGACAGGCAGAGGTGCAGCAGGTCCCCAACTCACCCCGAGCGGGGAGACATCAGCCCAGGCTCCGCACTAAATAGAGGCTGGCCCTGGTTCCCCTTCCTCTAACGGGGGAAATACTTCCCGCTGGTCAGCACGACCTTAGCACGCCCTGATGCGCGAAGGCTAAAAGCCAGCCCCACTTCCCTGTGCTCGCCCAGTACATCCTGAATGAGTCGGAAGCCCGCGTGAAGGCCGAGCTGTGGATGAGGGAGAACGCCGAGTACCTGCGGGAACAGAGGGGTAAGCGCCACCTGCCCGCACTCACACGCAGGACGCGCAGCCCGCAGGCCTAGGGCGTGGGCCCTCAGTGACACCGGCCCCTTTTCTGAACTTTTAGAAAAAGAAGCAAGAATAGCCAAAGAGAAGGAGCTTGGCATCTACAAGGAGCACAAGGTGGGCGCCTGTGACGCCGGGCCTGGCCTTCTCGGGGGTGTCCAGGTTACGGGGGAGCAAATGTCTCTGGAATGTCCCTTCCCCGTGTGACCCAGGGTAGGCAGCTGGAGGCCATGTGCTCTGGACCCCAGACCCATGTCCCTAACCCCCAGGTCCTGCCCTGTGCTGGCCACAGGCGCCCAGTCATCGGCTTCACCTTGGAGGGCGTGTGCTCAGCCTTGGAGTGACCCTCTGGACACGGCACCAGGGCAGACTGTGTCGGGCCTCGGGGCTGGATGCTGGGGTTCCTGCCTGTGTAACCGGCGTTTGCTCTTCTAATGACCTGGGAGGTCCGACTCTAATGCCTCCCTGCCTTGTGGTCGTTGTGGTGACCTGGCTCAGCTGGCTCACTCCAGGGGGAACGTGCCTTCAGTCTCATGGTGCAGTCAGCAGTGGTTGAGCCTCTGAGTGACTGAGCAGGAGAAAACACAGGGAGCCGGTTCCCTGCCGGCGAGACTGGGGTCCCTCGGACCAAGCTGTGGGTGTCTGGGAGGGCGGATGTGGGGCCTACCCACTCAGGAGGACCCGGGGAGTGTGTGGTCAGGGAGTTAGGAACCTAGGCACTCCGCCCCACCCAACAGCACGTCCCAGGCCTTGCTGGGCCACGTGGGAAGGTTGTCATGCAGGGAGGGCAGCAGGGGTGGTGCAGGCTGATTGCCCTGAAGTGGTCTGTGGCTCCAGCTCCTAGAATGAGATCCAGGGTCTTCGGGCAGCTGGGGCCTTTGACCTGGGCCACAGTGCTGGGACGGATTGTCTGTCTTTGACCTGGGCCACAGTGCTGGGACAGATTGTCTGTCTTTGACCTGGACCACAGTGCTGGGATGGATTGTCTGTCTTTGGCCTGGGCCACAGTGCTGGGATGGATTGTCTGTCTTTGACTTGGGCCACAGTGCTGGGACGGATTGTCTGTCTTTGACCTGGGCCACAGTGCTGGGATGGATTGTCTGTCTTTGGCCTGGGCCGCGGTGCTGGGACGGATTGTCTGTCTTTGACTTGGGCCGCGGTGCTGGGACGGATTGTCTGTTTTTTTTT